TGTTCAGTGTGCGCGCTGTGAGCGGCATGTCGCGCCATCATGGTCCTGGTATCATTTTCGTTGTCACTGTGTTAGCTGATGAGAGCCTGTGTATTACTGCGCAGCAACAGTGCATCTTGCGTTTGCCGCGCCTAGCTCTTTTCGTCCATTCGCCTTGCGTAGCATCATTACTTTGGCATGCGTCATATTCTCTAGGGCGGCGACTTCTCGCTGACTCTATCCCACGTCGGTCTTTTGTGATTTTGTGATTGTGGTGGCTTGTCATTCGCATTGGTGGGTGCTGCGCCGTGCTCGCCCGTCTGTGACTCAGCTCCGTGTTTGCGCCTCGCTTTATCTCTTGTCGCGGGCTCTCGCGAGCCGCCATGGGTGGGGAGGTGTCGCAGATATCTGGCAACCGCTTGGAGGAGGAACTACGAGCTGGACATTTGGTTCGGCGCTACTTTGTACTGTGAGAAGAAAGAGAACAAGCGTGAGTTCTTGTTCACTCAGTATGACCCTGCGTTTGTCGTGGCAGACATGGCCGAACTGGTGCATCATTCGGCGCGCAACTTGGCAAATGATGGCGGGCCGCAACTATTGCACCCATGCTTCGAACTGGACGCAGGAGTCCCCTGCGTGAGCAGGACGCCGCTCAATCGGAATGCTGGCGCCAACAGGGGGTGCGTGCAAGACAACCGCGACACCACGGGAATCGGCTTCAACACGATTCTCAAGATCGCTGACGCTCACTCGCCCATCGGCATTACGCTCGAGTGCGTGAAGGGGGTTGGCGACAACACAGAGGGCTACGCTGTGTCCGACGCTGAGTGGGTAGTCCAGGAGCTTCGCAAGAAAGGGTATTGGGCACATATGGATGTTCTCGATGCCTCGGAGTACGGGTCTGCAGTTCCTCGTGCAAGGTTGTGGTGGGTTGCTTGGCAGTACTTGAAAGGCTCTCACGACGAGATCTCTGCGTTCTTCACGTCCATCCTGTACTCGCTGAAGACGCACGGGCGTTTCACAATCGACATCTTCCGCTCCATCACTTTGGACCTCGATCGGCTTCAGGCCGAGGCGACGCACATCAGTATGCCATTGTTGTACAAGGGTGAGTTTCTCCACAGCAAGAAGGATGAGCCCAGCTGGAAGCACGACCACAAGTTGATGTACGAGAACAACGGTCTTTATTGGCCGCCAACGCGCCCGTCCCCTACGCGATCCAAAATCTGGGAAGGCGGGCTATTTGTACGCGAGTGGGAGGCATGCGTCTTATTGGATTATCTCTTCCCGCCGGGTGACTCCGACAACCTGGCGGAGTTCGTAGACATCAACCAGTCGCTGCCCAGGCTTATTGGCAGTCACCTCGAAGATGGCTGCGGACTCATCAAGGCTGACGCGCCGACCCCGTGGTCCAAGACACCTCCAACGTTAGTTGGGTCGGGCAAGCTTGTGATGAGGTACCGGGTGCATGAGTCGGGCATCTTGGTTACCCCCCTGCGTGGGGCATTAGAATCTGCGAGGGGTTCGAAGTCATGCGGATGATCGGCTGGGACGACAGCATGTACGCGGTCCCGGACGCCGGCTTCAAGAAGGAGCAAGCCCTCCTGCTCATCAACATGGCTGGCAACGCATACTGCATGTACCACGCCATCCCGTGGATGATTGCCGCCTACACTACGTTTGGCACCTTCTACTGCGCGCCCTCTGACGAGAAGGGGAAGGGGCAGGACTCCGACAGCGAGGGCGAGGATGGCCAGGATGGCGAGGCCGAGGGAGGTGAGAGCAGCGGCTCACAGTCAACAAGCTCGGATTAGCAGTTTTCGCTGTGCTCCTGGGTTCTGCGCGAGCCTTGAGCCTTCGCCCGGGCTCGAGTCGCCGCGGGGATTTGCTCGTTTTTGCCCTGGGGCCCGCGGTTGTTTCCCTGGGCTCCAAGTTCAGAGATCGGGAGTGCGTCTCCCTGCCAGGCAAGCCTTGTCTGTCGGCGGTGGCCAGCGTCTAGGCCTTCGGCATCGCTTGATTGGTCTGTGGGCCGACTTCTTGTAGGGGCAGAGGCAAGAGTAAAAGTCGCCAGTGCCTCCCTCGATGCATCGGGTCCTATCTCGACTCGCCTCGCCTTGTTTTGCCATCCCCTCTGCTCGTCGACCGCCCAACCCCGCCCACGCCCTCCACCCGCCCACCAGCCCACGTCCACGTAACAACGAACCGAGCGTGGGCTCCGATATTGCATGGGATGGCAGGGCAGGTTGGCGTGCATCTCCACCCCACCGTTCGATCTTGAGCTGGCCCCAATCCACAGCTCAAGAGAGTCGATTAGCGTCATGTTGCGGTCGGTTCGGGGACAGCGAGGCACGCCAGTCGAACCATCTTGGTCAGTTGGAGCCATCTCTGGAGAAGCCGTAGGGTATCGGATGTTTCGTTGAGCCATATCTTGAGCCATCCTGGGTGGCCACCAAATTCTGTCCTGAGCGCTCAGGTCCTGGGAATTAACGGCAAGGGGAGAATGGGGGTGGAGGGTGGGGGTGAAGCCCACCTTACGGCGGATGCCAGAACACTTTCGTTCGGCGATTGGTGTTTGCCATGTTGGCACGGCCAGCCATTCCGTTTGCGACTTTGCTGGTCCTGCGTGGATGAGGCCCGTGGCCAGTCGACCTTCCACCGCGTCGGTGTCGCCAGCTTGTCGCCTTGGGCCTTGGGTCAGTCAGCCGCGGCTGCGTTCTCTCGCGGTGGTGCGCCAGTTCGTTGCGTCGCAAACATATATGCATACGCGTGTTCTCATGTTACCTGATTTCGGATAGGAATGATAACATTGATTCACATGTCTCGGCGAGACGTCGGGCAGCAAAGCGGCGTCAGAGACAGATCGTCGTCGCCATGCCCGCCCTCCCCGCTTCTCTCTTGGCTTCCGCCAAGTCCGCCGCCCCGCCCTCCACTTCGGCCACCGGCCACCTGCTTATCTGCTCCTCCTGCCTCCCACCATGTCTTCTTACCATCTCTCCTCCCCTCGTGCCTCGCCTCTCAATCCCTGCCCGTGACCATTTTTTCTCATGGCGATCTGGCATTGGCACCTCTGCCCGACCCCCCCCCTCCTCCGCCCGCCCACCCCGCCCCTCGCACGTGGCACGGGTCGCTCCGATGTTCTACGTTAGCGCGCTGACCCCCGTGATCCACCACCCTCGCCTGGCGCGCCGACCCCCTGGGACGTCCAAGGGGGCCGGTGGGGGGATGGGCGAGGGGGGGGGTCAATCAGGGCATTTGGCAGAAGTGGTGGCTAGGAGGGCGAGGAGGAGAGGTGGAGGACTGTGGAAAGATGAGTGACGATTGGAAGACGGGCTGGCCTAACGTGGTCGCGAGCCTGGCGGACAGCAGGGCCAGACGACCCCAGGGTGTGCTTCTTAGGCTTTCGGCCTAAGCCCATCGCATTAGTTTTGTGATTTTGGCAAGGTCCCCAGGGAGCGGCGATGGGGGCGCCATCCGCAGATCGCGAGATGGCGCGCGCCGGCGTGGGGGAGCCGCAGCCGTCGCTTGGCGCTCCTCTTCCTGCTGGCTCTGCAGCTGGCCCAAGGAGGAGGAAGAAGACTCGAACTTCAGTGCCGCCAGAGCAGGACGGCCGTGCCAAATTGGAGGTGGAGGATGGGCAGGGATGAGGGCCCCACCAGCAGGCTTGACATTCTATACAACCCTGTGCGCACCTCCTCGCACCAGGCATCCTCGAGAGGGCTTGGGCGGCCCAGAGAGATTACCGGCGTCGATGTGATGGTTTTTCTCCGACCAGAGTTCGCGTGCTGCGTTTCTCGTGGCTGCGTCTTGGGATCTCACAATCGATCGGAGATATCCCCACGGGCCTGGGGCCTCTTGCAGCTGCCTTGGGCCTCAGACCTTTTGAAGTTGTCTTGGGGTTTGGATGTCCAGAGGGGTCTCTTCTCTTGGAAGCATCCTGGAGCCGTTCTGGTAGCGCGGGCGGGGCGCGACCCCCCTGGCCCCCGCCTCCGCCCCCCCTCCGCCCTTCTATCTCATCCACCCTCTCTCGTCCTCTTCCGTCGTCCGTCGTCTGCCTTCGACCCTTGTCCTCCCGCCTCGTGCGCGCCCCTCCCCAGCCTACCTGCTGGGCCCCGCTTTCGCCGACGCCCCTCTCGCCTTGCCTGAGTGAGGACGGCGAGCGCGGCGACGGCGAGGTCAACGCCTCTGGCGGGTCCGCGGTCCAGCAGTGCCCGGACGGGCGCAAGTGCTTTACCTGCCGCCACAAAGATGATCAATGGGACCCCGTGGCCTTGAAGGCCGACATCAAGACTCCGATGTGGTGGGGCAAGCCGTTCGACAAGCAGACAGGCGATCAATTGTCTTCGCCGTTCGTCGTCGAAGATTGTAAGATTGTCGTCGTCGTTGCCGTGGTCTCGTCGGTTCTTTGCTCAGAAGTCGTCGTCGTTTCATTGGGTGGTCTTCGGGCGTCCATCGATGGCGCATGGATGGCGAACCCTCTGTCCCACTGTCAGGCCTGTGGCTTTGAGAAAGCTTTAGCGGGCATGAGCTGCATTGGAGAAGGAGAGGGGAGAGGGGGGGAGGGCGGGTGGATGGGCGACGTGGGCTGACTACCTACCAGACCACCCCAACCCAACCCGAAGACCCGAATTTCGGGCTGGGGGGCGCAAGGGTTCCACATGTGTTTTCTCGATGTTTCCCGACCCCCCCCCCACTGGAAATCGAGGGCAAATCGGGACCTTCGGGTTGGGTCGGGGTGGTTTGGTAGGTGGCGATGGGCAGCGGTGCGGGGAGGGACGCACGGAGGGGCTCTCGGGGGGAGAGAAGGACGGGAGGCCAGAGGGGGGGGAAGAACGATGGAGGACGCGGAGGAGGAGAGGGGGCGACACAGGGGAGGGGTGGAGAGGATGTCGAGGGCGGGAAGAAGGAGTAGGAGTTCCAGGCCCAGGGCGGGGAGGATGAGGATGAGGCGTCGTGGGAGAAGGGAGAGGGCAAGTTGTTTCCCGCTGTCTTCAGCCCCGGTGCCCAGGCAAGACTCACGGCAGGTATTGCGGCTACTGCATGAAAGTCTATTTCGGGCATATTCGGGCCGCCCTTGTCAAGATCGTCTCGATGGAGGAGTACGGCAAGTTCTTGGGCGCAGAGACTAAGCGCTTGGGGCGGCACCAGGGCATGGTTGACGAGGTCATCGAGGCCATGGTGAAGGCGAACGTCAGCGACCCCAGGGCCCATTTCCGCGTGGACTGGGATGCGATCAAGGACAAGGTCAGGGAACCCTCTTCCGCTCGGCGTCCGTCGTCGTCGTTGATGACCGTCGTCGTCGAGGTGTCGTCGATGTCAGTCGTCATTCGTCGTCGATCGTCGTCGAGGTCGTCGTCGATCGTCGGGGTGTCGCCGATCGTCGTCGATGTCGTGTCGTCGATGTCGTGTCGTCGATCGTCGCGTCGTCGTAGCCGACCGTTGTCGTCGTCGTCGTCGTCGTCGTCGTCGTCGTCGTCGTCGTCGTCGTCGTCGAGGTCATCGCCCTGCGTCGTCGTCTTCGTTCTTGCACACATTCGCTCGTCTTCTCTCGTCGCTCGTCGTCGGTCGCGGCCGTCGCCGTCGCTTGTCGTTGCCTAGTTGTCATCCCCCTCGATCTTTGCGTGGCTCCAGCGTAGGTCTCCCTGACGATTGTGAAGAGGAACCAGGCCGTCGTAGAGGGCGCAGGGGGGTACCGCCATCTCCCGCAGTTCGAGCACGAGCAGGAGTTTGGGAAGTTCTCGACCAATGGCATGGCGGAGAAGGGTCACAAGGAGTGGGTCTACAACGGTCTCGAGGGGTACTATGTGCCCAACAGGGCAACCACCTTCAAATTCGTGACGGTCGACGAGACGGTCAGCAGCACCGAGGTCGGGTCGACGGCAGACGGGCAGGTGACGAAGGCGCAGCTCGATCGCATATCGGACGCGTTCTTCACCGACCTCCAGAACTTCATCAGAGGCAATGGTCGTGGCCCGGAGGCGGCGCTGTTGCGGTTGCATGGCGCCGGCCAGGGCGACGCGGCGCCGTCTGCGCCAGCTGCCGGCGACGGTCAGCCGCCGTCTGGGAGTTCACCTGCGGCGAGCCCTCCGCCGAAGAGCGGCGCGGCAGCGGCTGAGGCCGAGCCCCGCGGTGGGTCGGGGAACAAGCGCGCTGCAGTGACGATCGAGGGCGCCGATGGCGATGGGAACGACCCCACGCAGCCCGAGCCCGGCAAGAAGACCAGCAAGGCAGCCGCAGGGCAAGGCGCAGCTGGTGGCTCCACGGGCACCTCGAAGGCCAAGGCGGCAGCGAAACCTCAGGGCAAGCCCCCGAAGAACTGGGAGCCCATCGTCGGCGCCGTGACCTCTGCCTTCTCCAAGTCGAGCTCCAGCGACCCGAATTTCTGGGGCTCCGAGTCGAAGACGCAGATCAAGCAAATGAGCAGCTATATGAAGGATATCTCTGCCCGGTGTCGCAAGACGAAAGACGAAGCCGAGGCGATCATCCTTGAGCGCTTGATGAAGGAGCTCGGCGTCATCTCAGCGTTCGTGACCGTCGTCAAGGACCACGGCTTCGAGTCGGAACAGTTCAAGGAGGCTTACGACCTCCAGGTTCGTGGGCTCTCTTGAACCCACGCATTTCCGCCGAGAGGCCTCCGACTTTCGCGAGGCGGCGCCGAGCTGCGCCCTCTCTGCGACGGGCGAGGGCCTTTCGATGGATTCGTGGGCTCGAGAGCGCGCTAGCGATGCCGAGGTGACCTCGATGGGGCTGGCGCCCGTGGTGACTCTTGCACTTCCAATGCACATCAAGTGGGCGCGGCACAAGATGGACATCAGGGACACAACTTGTACATCTCGGTGGTTTTCGAGAATCAGCACCCGGGACCTTGCCGAGGTCGGGTTCGCGGGTGGCGCGTTGCAAGCTGAACAGGACAAGCTAGTCTCAGTTCGGTTGGCGGCGGCCTTGAAAATGAAGACGAAGAAGGAGAGGATGGATGCGTTGGAGGAGCTCTTCGACATGAACCGCGAGCTGGACCTCGTCCCGAACATCAAGGACTTCTGCGAGGCGGCCACGGTGATGGTCGTCGCGCCAACGTTCAATTGCGCCCAGGTGTGCGTGGAGGCGCTGTCTCAGGCTTTCGAGGCCCTCGGCGCCCCGGAGATCTCGAGCCTCGTCTCGCGCGGCGTGCTCACGGGTTTCCCGCACGGCAAGGAGTGGCTCAAGGAGATGAAGCTCTACAACACTCAGGCGGGGATTAGATGAGGAGGACGGGGGCGAGGATGACACGGCGAGCGAGAGGGCGGGGAGGGGAGGGGCGGGCTTGGACGATGGAGGAGGGGAAGGATAATAACGAGGATGAGGAGGAGAGGAGGCCAGGATGAGGAAGAGAGGACGCCAGGACGAGGAGGAGATGAGGCCAGGATGAGGAGGCCAGGGCAAGGAGAGGAGGATCGGAGGCCAGGATGAGGAGGAGAGCAGGCGGAGATGAGGAGGCCAGGATGAGGAGGGTCAATGGGCCCCATCATTCCCCCCCCCCTGTCCCCATGCCCTAGCCTTCCCGCTCGCAGGTGGAGAACTCTCGGAAGAACATCGCGGACTTGACCGCCCTGGGCGAGTCGATCATCTCGCAGCTCGCAGGCTCGGTTTCTGGTAGGCCGAATGTCGCGACGCTGTCCTGTGACCATCACCCCCTGCCTTGGTCGCGCCTCGCTCGTCGCGGCTCGGGCGAGATAGGCGCCCTCCTCCAAGGCGGCCTCGCGAGGGCAAGAAGATGGCCGCGCATCGGAGGGCGCGACGCGCGAAGTTGGGCAACCAGGGGTCGCGGCGATGACGAGCTGTCGCCGCGAGAGGGGGTGGGAGGGGAGGAGGGGGGGGGGGGAGGAAGAGTTCTGTCGTGGGAACAGGGCCTCGTCAGGAGAACGCCGGGCCCGTCATGAGAACGGCGCGGCCCGTCGGGTCCGCCCCGGGAACGCCGGGGTCGGGGGGGGTCCAGGGAGTGCGAAGGCCCTGGGGGGTGGGGGTGGGGGCACGAGAACAGCGAGGCGGAGAAGGAGGAGGAGGAGGAGGAGGAGGACAGGGGGAAGACGAGCGGCGGAGGAGAAGGGGGAAGGGGAGGGCGAGGGGAAGCAGGAGGGGGAGGAGGAGGAGGAGGAGGCGGAGGAGCGCGCGCCTCCTCGCGTGCGGCTGCGGGCCGATGGCACGCAGCCGCCCGCGTCGTCGTCGACGTCGCATTCGTCGTCGTCGACGTCGCGGTCGGCGTCGTCGTCGTCGTGGGGGCACGAGTTCCCCGAGTTGTTCGGGGAGGGGCCTCGGGGACGCGATGTCCAGAACATGCTGGGGAGTCTGGAGTGGAAACTTCGTCGCTGTCGTCGTCGTCGTTAGGGTTAGGGCTAGGGTTAGGGGGTCGCGGTTCGGGTTCTGGAGTAGGGTTCGGTTTCGGGTTGGGTTTAGGGTTTAGGGTTAGTTTTTTGGGTTTAGGGTTAGGGTTTGGGGGTCAGGGTTGGGGGGGTAGGTTTTAATGATAGAGTTCGGTTTAGGGTTAGGGTTTAGGGTAAGGGTTAGGGCATTGGGTTTAGGTTAGGGTTTAGGGTTAGGGTTTAGTGTTCGGGTTAGGGATTAGGGTTAGGGTTTAGGGTTGGGGTTTAGGGTTAGGGTTAGGGTTTAGGGTTAGGGTTTAGGGTTAGGGTTTAGGGTTAGGGTTCTGGGTTAGGTTTAGGGTTAGGGTTTAGGGTTTAGGCTTCGGGCTAGGATCTAGGTTTTAGGGTTAGGGTTTAGGGTTAGCTCGTCGTTGTCGACGTCGTATTCGTCGTCGTCGACGTCGCGGTTTGCGTCGTCGTCGTCGTCGTGGGGGCACGCGTTCCCCGAGTTGTTCGGGGAGGGGAGGGGCCTCGGGGACGCGATGTCCAGAACATGCTGGGGAGTCTGGAGTGGAAATTTCGTCGTTGTCGTCGTCGTCGTCGTTAGGGTTAGGGTTAGGGTTAGGTTAGGGTTAGGGTTAGGGGGTCACGGTTAGGGTTCTGGATTAGGGTTCGTTTAGGGCAAGGTTTAGGGGTTCAGGGTTTAGGGTTCGGGTTTAGGGTTAGGGTTTAGGGTCAGTTTTTCCCAACCATCCTGTGGTGTTGGGTCCTCGTTTTGAAGAGACGGTGCCCGCGTCCTCTCCTCTCCTCCTCTCCTCCTCTCCTCCTCCTCCCCCTCCTCCTCCCTCCTCCTCCCTCTCCTCCCTCCTCTCTGCGTTTCACCCACCCATTACAGCGCTTCGTGGCTCCATAGGGAGCTCCACCGAAGGCCCCAGTGGGGGTGTTCGCATGCGGTTCCCCCACCCAGGGCAGCGTTTCGTGGCCCCATAGGGAGCTCCACCGAAGGCCCCAGTGGGGGTGTCCACATGCGGTTCCCCCACCCAGGGCAGCGTTTCGTGGCCCCATAGGGAGCTCCACCGAAGGCCCCAGTGGGGGTGTCCACATGCGGTTCCCCCACCCAGGGCAGCGTTTCGTAGCCCCATAGGGAGCTCCACCGAAGGCCCCAGTGGGGGTGTCCACATGCGGTTCCCCCACCCAGGGCAGCGTTTCGTGGCCCCATAGGGAGCTCCACCGAAGGCCCCAGTGGGGGTGTCCACATGCGGTTCCCCCACCCAGGGCAGCGTTTCGTGGCCCCATAGGGAGCTCCACCGAAGGCCCCAGTGGGGGTGTTCGCATGCGGTTCCCCCCACCAGGGCAGCGTTTCGTAGCCCCATAGGGAGCTCCACCGAAGGCCCCAGTGGGGGTGTTCGCATGCGGTTCACCCACCCAGGGCAGCGTTTCGTGGCCCCATAGGGAGCTCCACCGTAGGCCCCAGTGGGGGTGTTCGCATGCGGTTCCCCCACCCAGGGCAGCGTTTCGTGGCCCCATAGGGAGCTCCACCGAAGGCCCCAGTGGGGGTGTTCGCATGCGGTTCCCCACCCAGGGCAGCGCTTCGTAGCCCCATAGGGAGCTCCACCGACCGAAGGCCCCATTGGGGTCGTCCACATGCGGTTCCCCCACCCAGGGCAGCCAGCCGTTTCGTGGCCACATAGGGAGCTCCACCGAGAGGCCCCAGTGGGGGGTGTCCACACGGGTTTCCCCCAGCCAGGGCGGAGTTTTCGTCCAGGGCCCTAGGGAGCTCCACCGAAGGCCCCAGTGGGGGTGTTCGCATGCGGGTCCTTCACCCAGGGCAGCGCTTCGTGGCCCCATAGGGAGCTCCACCGAAGGCCCCATTGGGGGTGTTCGCATGCGGTTCCCCCACCCAGGGCAGCGTTTCGTAGCCCCATAGGGAGCTCCACCGAAGGCCCCAGTGGGGGTGTTCGCATGCGGTTCCCCCACCCAGGGCAGCGTTTCGTAGCCCCATAGGGAGCTCCACCGAAGGCCCCAGTGGGGGTGTTCGCATGCGGTTCCCCCACCCAGGGCATCGTTTCGTGGCCCCATAGGGAGCTCCACCGAAGGCCCCAGTGGGGGTGTCCACATGCGGTTCCCCCACCCAGGGCAGCGTTTCGTGGCCCCATAGGGAGCTCCACCGCAGGCCCCAGTGGGGGTGTTCGCATGCGGTTCCCCCACCCAGGGCAGCGTTTCGTAGCCCCATAGGGAGCTCCACCGAAGGCCCCAGTGGGGGTGTTCGCATGCGGTTCCCCCACACAGGGCAGCGTTTCGTGGCCCCATAGGGAGCTCCACCGAAGGCCCCAGTGGGGGTGTTCGCATGCGGTTCCCCCACCCAGGGCAGCGTTTCGTAGCCCCATAGGGAGCTCCACCGATGGCCCCAGTGGGGGTGTTCGCTTGCGGTTCCCCCACCCAGGGCAGCGTTTCGTGGCCCCATAGGGAGCTCCACCGAAGGCCCCAGTGGGGGTGTCCACATGCGGTTCCCCACCAGGGCAGCGTTTCGGTTTTGCCCCATCAGGGAGCTCCATCGGAGGCCCCAGTGGCTGCCCTCGCATGCGGTTCCCCCACCCAGGGCAGCGCTTCGTGGGCCCCAATGGGAGCTCCACCGAAAGCCCCCGGGCGGCAGTTTCGCAGGCGCTTCCCCCACCAGGGCAAGCGCCGTTTCGTGGGGCAACCAATAGGGAGCTCACCGAGAACGCCCAGTGGCGCAGGAAGTTCGCACTGCGGTTCCCCCACCCAGGGCAGCGCTTCGTAGCCCCCATAGGGAGCTTCCACCGAAGGCCCGCCCCGGTGGCGCAGTCCGCATGCGGTTCCCCCTATCCAAGGCAGCGCTTCGTGGCCCCATATGGAGCCCCACCGAAAGCGGCACCCACAACGCGTTACCAACAATTGCTTATGGTTGGGTCTTTCGCCAGGATAATTTTTGTGGGGGGGGGGGGGTCGGTTTTAATGTTAGAGTTAGGTTTAGGGTGAGGGTTCGGGTTTAGGGTAAGGGTAAAGGTTTTGGGTTTAGGGTTTAGGGTTAGGGTTTAGTGTTCGGGTTAGGGATTAGGGTTGGGGTTTAGGTTTAGGGTTTGGGGTTAGGGTTTAGGGTTAGGGTTTAGGGTTAGGGTTCTGGGTTAGGGTTAGGGTTAGGGTTTAGGGTTTAGGCTTCGGGCTAGGATTTAGGTTTTAGGGTTAGGATTTAGGGTTAGTTCGTCGTCGTCGACGTCTCATTCGTCGTCGTCGACGTCGCGGTTTGCGTCGTCGTCGTCGTGGTGGGGGCACGGGAATTCCCCGACTTGTTCGTGGAGGGGCCTCGGGGGCGCGATGTCCAGAACATGCTGGGGAGTCTGGGGTGGAAACTTCGTCGTTGTCGTCGTCGTCGTTAGGGTCAGGGTTAGGGTTAGGGGGTCACGGTTAGGGTTCTGGATTAGGGTTCGGTTTAGGGTTAGGTTTAGGGTTTAGGGTTGGGGTTTAGGGTTTAGGGTTTGGGGTTAGGGGTTAGGGTCAGGGTTGGGGGGTTAGGTTTTAATGTTGGAGTTAGGTTTATGGTTAGGGCTTAGGGTAAGGGTTTTGGGTTTAGGGTTTAGGGTTTAGGGCTAGGGTCTAACAAGCTTGGCCACGATTAGTGCTCGGGTTAGGGATTAGGATTCGGGTTTAGGGTTAGGGATTAGGGTTAGGATTAGGGTTAGGGTTTAGGGTTAGGGTCTAGGGTTAGGGTTTAGGGTTAGGGTTCTGGGTTAGGTTTAGGGTTAGGGTTTAGGGTTTAGGCTTCGGGCTAGGATTTAGGTTTTAGGGTTAGGGTCTAGGGTTAGCTCGTCGTCGTCGACGTCGTATTCGTCGTCGTCGACGTCGTGGTCGGCGTCGTCGTTGTCGTCGTGTGGGGGGGGGGGGGGGGGGGGGGGCACGATAATCCCCGAGTTGTTCGGGGAGGGGTCACGTGGACGCGATGTCCAGAACATTCTGGGGAGTTTGGGGTGGAAGCTTGTGGTTGTCCGTCGGTCTCTGGATTAGGGTTAGGGCTTATGGGTTTGGGTTAGGGTTTGGGTTAATGTGGTCACGGTTAGGGTTCTGGATTAGGGTTCGGGTTAGATTTCAGGGTTTTGGGTTCAGGGTTAGGGTTTAGGGTTTGGGTTTCGGGTTAGGGTTTAGGGCCAGGGTTGGGGGGTCTGAGGATGGTGCCAGGGGAAGAGGGATAGTAGTATTCATACGGAGTAATTGTGGAGGGGGAGGAGGAGGAGGAGGAGGAGGAGGAGGAGGAGGAGGAGGAGG